TCCGATAGAAGGCAAAATAAATCCTATAGATTATTTTTTTATGCTTTTCGATGAACATTTTATAAAACTATTGGTTGATGAAACGAATAATTATGCTGAAACCGAGTTTTTRCGTGTWGGTAGTGCACCACGTTCTCGTATCTCCAATTGGAAACCAACAGATAAAGACGAAATGTTAACATTTATTGCATTGATAATTCACACTGGTACCATAAAACTCAACAGATTGAATGACTATTGGAAAACCCATCACCTTTTCAACTTTTCTTGCTTTTCAAATTATATGAGTCGTGATAGATTTTTAAATTTATTAAGATGTTTTCATTTTGCACCAAATATTGAAACTAATAATCAAAACCTACCTGAGGATCGCTTATATAAAATTAGACCTTTAATTACATATTTCAATAACAAAATGAATACCATATATTATGCCAAAAAAGAACTCTCACTTGATGAGTCCATGGTGTTATGGAGAGGCCGTCTCCAGTTTCGTCAATACATTCAAAATAAACGCCATAAATATGGAATTAAATTATACATGCTTACGGAACCTCATGGCTTGGTATTAAAATTTGCCATTTATGTAGGAGTACTCGATGACTTGGGAGGAAAAGGCCATGCAGCTAATGTGGTTTTGCATTTAATGTCCGAAAAGCTAAATAACGGCCATGCGTTATACATGGACAATTTCTACAATAGTTTTGATTTAGCCTCCAAATTGATTGAAAARAAAACGTTTTGTACTGGAACATTAAGATTGAACAGAAAAAATACACCACAGGATGTTGTAGAGTCAAAATTAAAAAAAGGTGAAACCGTTGCCAGATACTTTCAAGGTGTTATGATTGGAAAGTGGAAAGATAAGAGAGATGTTGGTTATATTTCCACCGAATTTAAAAATAATTTAATTCTTACCAAAAACCGAAACGGTAAAGAACAATTTAAACCTGAACCTATCTCAAATTATAACCGTTTTATGAGTGGAATTGATCGGCAAGACCAAATGCATAGCTATTATCCATTTACTAGAAAAACAATCCGTTGGTATAAAAAAATTGGTATACATATAATACAAATGTTATTGATGAACTCATTTTATTTATATAATCAATATCACGCCGGACCTAAAATATCATTGTATGATTTTCGATTATCCATACTCAGTGAACTTTTGCCCAAACATCCAAAACCTAGATCTTTTTCAGTATCACATACTAATCATTTCCCAAAAACTCACGATGTTGGAAAATCTGGAAGACCTAACAGAAAAAGATGTCATCTGTGTTATTCTAAAGGGATAAGAAAAGATACAACATACTTCTGTCCAAGCTGTCCGGAAAAACCCAGTCTTTGTCATCAA